GGGGAAATCAAGCCAAGGGGTGGAGGGGGGGTGGAGGAGACGGGGGGAACCGGCGGGATGGGGGGGGACTTACCTCCTCCTGCTGCTTCCTCTTCTTCCTACTCGGTGTGGAGCTCCCTCCCCCCCTCCCACGAGTATCACGGGTCCGCCCCTTGTTTCCCATAATTCCTAGAGAGTATAGCATATGAATACGTGAACCTGGTTTATACTGATCCAGACCATTGATCTGTAAAGATCAATATGTCTTCTGAGGCTGACAGTGGCTCTCTAGGATCCTACGGGAGGGGGAGGGGCGCATCTTTCATATCACCATCTATCTGGTACATTTAACCTGATGTGCCGGGGACTGAGCCTGGGAACTTGTTCATTCCAAGCAGATGTTCTACCACTGAATGGCCTTTCTTAGCATGAAGAGATATATTTGGATCCTCAAGCCAAAGGAAATGCTAAATTACATGCCCTTTTGTGGGACTCTTAAAGGAACTGGGAACCTTAAACCAGGATTGATGTATGACCATTATAATAATCTGACAAGTCACAGGATCAACCTGATAGCTAATGATGTGCTTTTATTTTGAAACTGAATGTATTTTCTTGCATAGTTAGAAAGGACAGGAGCAAGCACCTAAAACCAATTTTCAGAACATGTTTTGCGGGCATTTGTAGAGTTCAGCAAAGCTTATTCTGCCGTGATGAAGTTGTTCAGTCTGGTAATAACTGCTTGTCTCAGAATATTATCACGAGGCTGATTTAATTAATGTTTGAATAGAACTTGGGAAGAGGTATGTGCTAAGTGTTTAATTATATTTCAGTGATTGTTTAGTAAGTGATGCTAGAAATATCACTTTTAACCTGAAAGGGCAGGGAATTTCTGATCTAAATAATGCTTATTTTTACTGATACAATCTTTAGGCCATTTCAGTAGAACAATAGAGTTTACAGCCTTTGGGGTGTTATCTAGGATCATGTGTATGCAATTCAACTAAGTTCTTTTCAGACACTTCCTATCAGCTGCTCTCTTCGCTGAGCACCTAGACTGGTTCTTAAATTCCCTTGAGTTTAAAAAGCAATTTGGAGATTTGGTGTTGACACCTAAAAAGGGGCGGGGGGAACGGACGACATCTAGTGCTGATGAGCTATTTTATAAGCGTGTTTCTCTTTCCGTGGATCTTCTTTCCAGACCCTCAAACTGCCTTTTAAACTTCGAGAACCTTAAAAACCTATTTGCAAGTTATGGATGCTGCTTAATAGGCAATGTCTCAAAATAACTGTACAAACTCCTTCACATTGTACCTATTGTTTTCTTTTAATATGTAATAATACTGAGCATTTTTATAGCACTTTAGAGCGTTCAACGCACTTTGCATGTATTATCTTAACGGTCTTTCCAATGACTCTATAAAATAGGTTAATACTATTGTCCCCATATTGAAGGTAAAGGGATGAGAGACAGAGCTTCCTTAAGTATGCCTCTGTGCACAAGGACCTCACTTCTGAAGAAGATTTCAGCCAGGGGCTTCCTCATTCATGCTTCACCATTACACCAGCTCCCAGTGGGGATCTTTTTGGGCTCACGCTTATCTCCTATCTAATTCCTTCTGGGCAGAGGAAACTAATGGTTGCTGATATGATTATTTCTAAAGCACTGCTTTGCAAACACATGTGGACAAAAAAGGTGTTCCCTTTATATTTTCAGGTTAACATCTCTAACTTCGACATAGTGATGGAATCTGATGAAGGAACCTTCATGCCAACTGGTCTGGCTTTCACTGGCAGTGATAAGGCTCGGAATATCATGAAGGAGATCGTGAAATTGCTGCAGCCTATCAACGTTACAGGTGTCTTTGAAGAGGGCGGAGGGACAGACATTAGTTACTGGATACGAGATGGGATACCAGGTGAGATTTCAGAATAAGTTTTGGAAATGGCTGAGTTGCCCTGCCCTTTCCCATTATTTCCTGGCAAGTCTCCTTTTGTAGCAGCCCAGTGTATGACGTCATTTTTCTTGAACTGCACTTGATCAGAAATTAAATGTGTATGTATCCCAAGGCTTGGCTGCGGTGGCTCAAGTGGTTAAGACGCTGAACTGCAGGCTGTGGAAGGTCAGTAGTTCAGCAGTTCAAGACCCGGGTGCCGCAAGACAGGGTGAGCTCCTGTCTCTAGTTCCAGCTCCTGCCAACCTAGCAGTTCGAAAGCAAGAAATTGCAAGTAGATAAATAGGTACCACTTCGGTGGGAAGGTAACAGCGTTCCGTGCACCTTGGTGTTTAGTCATGCCGGCCACATGACCACGGAAACGTCTTCGGACAGCGCTGGCTCTTCGGCTTTGAAACGGAGATGAGCACCGCAACCCTAGAGTCGGATTCGACTGGCTTTCGAGCAAGGAAACCTTTACCTTTACTATCCCAAGGCTAACGTACAGAAGCTTGGCCATAGTGGCTTGGATCTGGCCAGCTTTTTCACCTTTTCGCCCAGTTCCCCTTTGTACTCCACCCCCATCCCCCAAGGCTTTTGTCTGTGGAAGGACCGTGTCCTTTTTTGGGTGGTCAGAGGAGGACCCTGTCTCCTTTTTTCCCCAGTGGAAAAGCTGGCTGGATCCAACCTAATGTATTCGTGAGCTTCTGTTTAAGAAAGGTATAGTTGGTGATGCATGGGGAATATGCCTACAATCTTCTTTTAGTCTTTAGAGTTGATAATAATCTTTTCTAGTACAGTGGATTATATTAGCAGAGTGTTCTCTCTGTCTGAATTGAAAGGGGCCTGAACCCCAAAATAACACTTTCCTCCCAGATGTGAAGTTCAATGTACATGACAGTGGCTGGCCCCAGGAGTTTGTCTCCATCCCTTAGCTAGATGACACCCCTACCACAAGACCTTCCGTCCTTCACATGGAAGTATCTGCTGGTCCCACTCCTTGCCCAAGCTGCAGCAGACAGGATACTCAAGCAAAGCACATGCCTAGCTTTTGCCAAATCTCAGCGAATGACTAAGTATTGTGACATTGTAAATATTAGGGAAGGTGGGTTGTCTGACAACTTAAAAGTACCAACTCTCTCAGAGAGCTTCTGTTGCTGTAAATGGCATCCTGCTCAAAAGAGGAAGTTATATGCGCATCTTGGAATGGTTTTCACGCTCCGCTGAGCTGTGAGAATATAGCAAGCCAGTGAATAGTTATGGTACATAATACCACAGTCGTTTAACTGAACGCACTGCAACAGCTTCCACGATGATATCCAATTTAAACATGCCATGAAGTGTTGACACTTCATCAATTCAGTTTAAATATTTTCCTGAAAATTCACTCAATTAATTTGATGCCTGTGTGATGCTTTAAAAAAAAAAAGATATTGGGATAATTTTTAGGAGCCTTTTTTTTTTTTTGTCACAAACCTAGTAATAGGAGTTTCATTCTCTTGTAATTGATTTCCTCACTGTGTTCAGAACCACAACTTTTGGATCTGGTATCGGAAACCACTGTCTCTGCTTTTCGGGCACTGACAGCCCAGCATTCCCTTTCTTACAACTATTTTATCCTAGGATCTCTGGATTTATACTATTTTTAACCAGTTTTGCTTTAATTGGAACACTGGTTTATAATTCTTTATGAGAGCTAGCTGTAAATGGATGGCTTCTTCAGATTTACAGAAATGAAAATGGTGGTTTAGAACAAGCTGCTTCTGGCATGAGTGGACCACAGTAAGAAGGCAGAAGGAAAGGCCTGTTTCACAGGCAGAGCGTTGCCTGTGGTTCTTTGGAAATAAGCCATTGCTGAATAATGGATGCCTGCTCTGCTCTGAATTCATCACTGAAGTTTACACACAGGCAACATTTTGATGCAGAAACCATTTGCTTTAGAGCAAGTGACTTCACTGCTGCCCAAAGGACACTGTTTAACAGATTGACAACCCTAAACAGGTATTCCCAGAATCCAGCTTAAGTCTATTCAAAGGGGTTTACTGGAAGGAAAATGTTCTCTGGATGGCACTGTGAGAGGCCTGAAGGGGCCCGGCATTTTGTGAATAGTTGCAGATCTCTTTATAAAAAGGTGATCTTTTTTATATAAAAGCCGAAACAATACTCTGTTCTTAATTGTATCCAAGTAGCCCTGGATGTATACATATGGGTGGTCTTTTCCTCTCCAGAAAATGCAAACCAAATGCAGTCTGGGTGAAATAAAATCAGCTGAATCTGTCTTTTGATTTCTGTTGGAGCATCGTTCCTGAGAGAGAGAGACTTAGCTTTATTATATCATAATCATCTTCAATCAATTTCCTTCAGTTTGTCTTTTATTTCTGAACTTCAGTTGCACAGAAAGCATTTTTATTGCCCTGCACATATGTTCTAACCCACAGGCTCAGCTCTGTTCCTGCAAGGAGAACACAGATGCTGCACATGCAGCAGTAAAAAAAGTCTTTCTTTCTTGGTATCCTTGGTAGGAAAGGCTTGTTGCGATCCCAGCTAGACAAACATTCTAATTGTTTCCGCAAATAAACAAGGCATTCATTAGGTGCAAGGAAAAGAAGCTCCTTCTTTTTGTATCAATCAGACAAGTGCTGAAGTAAGACAGCTCTTGAAAGAATCCCCTACTAGATCACCAGCTAACCATCTAGAAGGACTAATCCTTTCTATCATAGCTTTGGGAGTCACGCCCCCCCCCTGAAAGGGAACTTAGTAGTTATTTATTTATTTACTGGAAGAATTATATTCCACCTTTTGGCCTGTTAAAGGGAGCTTGAAGTGGCTTGCAAACTGCTTTGTAAAACAGGCACAATGTACAAACAATTAAAACCAAGACAATAAACTGTCAGCAGCGATGTCATAATAATCACCAATTACCAAGGGCAACTCCAGGAGATTTGGGGATGGAGCCTGGGGAGGAGAGGGACCTCAGTGGGGTCCCCTGCCCAGAGCATCCATTTTCTCCTGGGAAACTGATCCCTGTAGATGAGCTGTAATTCCAGGAGATCCCCAGGTCCCACCTGGAGGCTGGCGTCCTTACCCAGCTAAGCCCAACAAGATTAGTAATTAATGGGTGACGTTTTTCTTTCCATAAAACTTCTGAAAGCATTATTAGGCTAATGACTGGCAAATTGTGGTGAAACAGACTTACTTGGCTTAGCTGCCCAAAACTGAGCTGATACAATCGTACTTTGAAAAACGTAAGCATTGCTGGTTTGCAGAGAAGGCTGTAGACGGTTGGCTGCAACTGATAGATCTTTGTCCAGGCATCTGCCTGCTAATAATGAGTTTGCTCAAAGTGCTGCACAAAACTTGATAATGTAAAAGGTGAGTGCTTCATTGATGTATGAACAAGGCTTTTAATGCTCAGCATCTCCGCTTTCCAAAATGAAACTGCTGTAGCAGGAAAGCACGATAGTCACATGGTCCGTTCCCTAGGTTTTTCTGCTTGTAGCAAAAGCCTGACTTCAGCCAGTCCTGTTAAATGGCTGTAGCCTCCTTCACCCACAAGGAGAAGCTATTCAGCATGATTTCTCATCCTGAGTGAGAGGTGCCAACAGGAAAAGGGAATCTAAGTTCTATGGAAGGAGCTACTACACCTTCTCAGTGTTCTCACTTTCCAGCAGCTAGGGAAATGAAGGTCTGATTGCCTGGAGTGGTGAGTGGCAGCAATAGAGTGATTTCCTTTTAACAGGAGTTGTGGGGGGAGGCGTTCATGCTATACTACAGGCCCATAGCCAACTTTTTTTGTTCAGAGGGCATTTACATTTTAAGGGGGCAGTTAAATTTGTTGTTGTTCAGTCGCACAGTTGAGTCGGACTCTTCGCGACCCCATGGACCAGCTCCCGCCAGGCCCTCCTGTCTTCCACTGTCCTCTGAAGTTGGCTCAATTTCATGTTCGTTGCATCGATGACACTGTCTAACCATCTCATCCTTTGCCGTCCCCGTCTTCTTTGACCTTCAATCTTTCCCAGCATCAGGGTCTTCTCCAGTGAGTGCTCCCTTCTCATTTGGTGGCCAAAGTTAGTTAGTTAAATTAATCCGAATGCCTGTCTTTAAAGGGGGAAGCTCCAAGCTTGTTTCTAGCCCTTCCTTTCAAGGAACAGGGCAGTGAGCACGCCAGTTCCTAGGAAAAAAAACAGGTCAGAGGGCACTTAATTGCCTTCAGAAGATACTTAAATGCCTTTCGAGTTTCTTTCCACAAGGCAAGAAAGCTTAGAAGGGGACTCAAGAGTGGTACCTTCAATACATCTCCAACAACCCCCCTTTCCACTAGCCCAGTCCCGCTATATACCACCTAGGTCATGGTGAGTCTTTCAAAAGCATTCCCATGAGCCTTTGGGAAACATGCAAATCAACTTGAGCTGTCTTTTCCTAGGTCCCATGATGCCACGCCCAAATTCCACAATGGGAGGGAGAGGGAAGCCTGAGGGCAAGCTGCTGTGCTCCCACCCTTGCTGCTGCCAGCAGCAGGCAACCGGGGGGGGGTCTCTCCTCAAAAATAAGGTTTCTGGCATGGCTGTTTGTGTGGCAGGGCTTTTAGTTAAGGGGGTGGGGCCCCAAAATGCCCCACTGTAGCTACGGGCCTGCTATACTATCTGCCCAGGAATTGTCTACTGCTGAACTGAGTGATTGCTTGGAGTGCCAGGCATAGGCACAGGGGTCGATCGGCCATTAAGGCCACCAGGAGAAGTCCCAGTGGGCCAGTAGCAAATGAGCTGAGACTCGCTTCATGCAGGGTGGCAGCCTTGGCCCCATGTAGGGCAGGTGTGAGCCCACGACGTATGCGAGCCAGGTGCGAGCTGCTGCCACAAGCCAGCCCCTCACAAGGTGGACGGGACCTGCTGCTGCTTCCGCAAGCCAGCAATCTCCAGTTGTGTGAGGCAGCTGTGCACCTACTGTTCCTCCCTCCCCACCTCCATGGGGGGGGGCAGGCCCTT